TGGTTGTTCTCCAGATTTCTTGGCACAACTTGGTGAGCACATCCAGGGCAACATCTGTTATCTGAAATACTTCAATTGGTATACCATCTATTCCTGGTGAGGTGCATTAGTGTAGCTAAATTGGATATTGTTAGGAGAGAAGTGGAAGGCATAAATATTGACATAGTAGACTTTGGCTAAATGATTGGCATGGAACATTTTGAATCAAACAATCACATGATCTACTATGCTGGAAATGAAGAGGTGAGGACAAACAGGGTCTCATTCATAGTTAAAAAGACTTCCAGTCCATCTTAAAATATGATGTTGTGAGTGACAGGATAATATCCATAAGCATACAAGAAAGATCTGTCAATACCACCACCATTCAAATATATACACCAACAACCAGAGACAAAGAGGAGGGCATAGATGATTTCTACCAACATTTGCAGTCAGGAATCGATCGAACATGCCACCAGGATGCACTAATAATAATGCATGAGTGGAATGCGAAAGTCAGGCATGGAGAAGAAGGATCAATAATTGGAAAACATGGGCTTGGTGACAGAAATGAAGCTGGTGATAAAATGATAGAATTTTGTAGTCAATGATTTTTTTTAAATTGTAAACACATTTTAAAAGAAAGATAAATGGAAACTATATACGTGGATCTCACCTGATGGTCTGCACAGAAATCAGATGGTCTACATTTGTAGAAAGAACTGTTGGTGAAGCTCAATATCTGCTATGAAAACTAGGCCAGGTGCTGATTATGGAACAGACTCATATGCAAGCTCAAACTGAAGCAAAGGAAAAGAAAATAAAATACTCCACAAACCCACAATATTTGTATATTTTATTGAAAAATTAAATCATAGCATCTACATAGTAACAGATGGATTATAAAATAGTTGTCTATTTTATATATTTTTATTTATTATATATATATTTAAATATATATTATATATATATATAAAATATAAGAATTGTTGTAGAAAAAGACACTTAAACAGAATACAGAAGGAAGATTATACTTTTTGTAGTAAGCATATATGTAGTTCTAATGTGTTAACTTTCATTATATTGTTAAGTCATACAATGTAAAATAAATGTGAGAAGCAACAACTGTTTAGAAATCCTATTGCTTATTATATCTGAAGAAACAAATCAAGTATAAATTTAAAACCATATGACAAATAAGAAACATTATTCAATAATTCTGTCTATAAGCTTTATACTTTTCATAGCTTCTGTAATTTTGTTGAGGAAATATGGAAGAGAATGAAACCCTAACCTTTTCCCCTCCCTCTCTTACACTATCTCCATCTCTCATCCCATTGTTCCCCTTTAGTATACTTCTCTATTAAAAGGGAGTAACAGGGAATTTTTTTTCCTAAAGAATTTAACTACTACCTACAATTAGTATAGAAATGTATCAGACTAAATAAAAGAAGCCTTAAAATATATAATTTAGGTATATTAGAAGACAAATAATCAAAATGTGAAATCCTGTTAATTAATAATACCATTTGATTTATCGGATCAATTTGTTCTTATTTTCACTTTCCATTTTTTTTCTAATGAAGCTTATTTTGCAAATTTAGTACCTAGATGACCACAAACCCAAGGATTAATGTCAAGCATTGCCTCTATTGATTTTTATACTAATTGTTCAAAGGACTTTGTATATATTACTTAATATGAGGGCTTGGTGAAAGTAGATGGAAAATCTAGTTTTTATATTTCCCCCCGATTTGTTAAAATGGTCTTCATAAGATATTCAGAAATTCGTTCAATCATGTCTTTAAAACATTTGGCTCATGCTTATACTGGCCAACAGCACTCTCTTTAAAAAGAAAATGTGTTATTTGGCAGGCTTCTGAGTACATGGGCACTTGTGTGCTTTTATTTAAAGAAATAATGCAAAAGATTTTCTAAGATGACTTATTTTGCCCTCATAAACTTTCACTCTTTGAAAAATGCATAACAACTTTTTCTTTGGAAATCATGCAGCCTACACATATTTTATAAAAATCATAGGATGTGGGAACATGGACAATCAATTATATATCTGGTATATTATATAACTGATATGTTAGAAACCATTTTGATGTCATAAATAACCTATAATGTAAAGTCTCTTCTAGATGTTTTACAGATTACTCAACAGTTAGTCATTGCTGTCTTTTTTTCAGTGCCGTCATTAAAACAACTGTGTTTTAATAACTATAATAGCATATGGGTAATTATAAAGGAAGACTTTATATTATTACACAAGGTCTTTATAATTTGATAATCTTTGTAATATAATCAGTCTATAAAAGAATGATATCTTTCCTTTGATAAAAAACAATAATAAATATCTATGTGTATGTTGTAGAGAGTTAGAACATATTTGTTGTGTGTGTGAATTTAATGAAAATAACAGTATGGGAATTAAGGATAATGAGCTGTTTGGTAGAGACTGCTGGAAGGAGTTTTGAACACAATTCTGGGACAAGAGTCTTTTGTTGTTGTTTTACTTTGTTTTCTAGTAGAGAAAGATTGGATTGAACCAAATTGATAGCAGGCAGTTGGCTGAATGTTAGATCATTTTGGGATCGGACTTTAAGGCTCATGATCACAAGTTTTAATCTAAAAGAAGGGAGCAATTAAAAGTCATTTCAAGCACATATATGGCTAAAGAAGTACGTTAAGATGCTCTTTCTGTAGCTGCAATTAAGAGAAATTGGGTGAGGAAAAGGCTTTTGGAGGGAGGTCAATGTACAATGGTTGGCTGTAAAGGTAATTAAGACCTTGACTTGAGCTACAAGTACAGAATCAAATGGAAAACATATTAATTCAAAATGTTTTATTGAAATTTCCTTAGAAGATTTCTAAACATTTTACTTGTTGTCATAGATACTCCAGGAAGGAGAGGAGGAAACAAGAATTCCAAGGGAACACGAGATGGCAGCAGTTCTATCACAGAAAGAGAAAGGTGGGAGAGAGAAAAAGATTTGAAGTTATATTTTATTTTTTTTAAGTTATATTTTAAATAAAAACATGCAATGCCTTATTTGTTTCTTCTCCAATTCCACAAGTTCTAGTGGTTACTGTGAGTTCCAGAAGGAGAGATCAGTGAGATTGAGTGCTTAAAAGGGGCCATGGCCACTAGGAGTCAGTGTAGGGATTTCAGGCCATCCGATTCTTGCCATTTTGTCTCCAAGGAGGTTTTCAACAACCTCTTATTCTATATGTGCTGTATTCCACTCCAGCACTGTCATTTCCCAGTCATCAGTTTCATGCTCCACAGCACCTCTGAGGTATATTATCACTATGGTAAAAATCCTTCTCCATTACTTGTGATTTTATCTTAAAATACTGCTGTCACGATTTTCTGCAGATTATTGGTGCTCTGTGTTATCTGAGGCACAAGAGCCCTGTATGGTATAAACTTGTTTTAAATGTTCCAGCATTGCCTTTTCTTCTTCTTCTAGTGTTTCATCCTTCCTCATTTCCCACCTAGAAGGAAAAAAAATATATCTTAATATTCTTATACTTTTCAAATGACAGTCAGTACTCAGTTATTCAAGGCTTGAACATGTAGTCACTGGTTTATTAAGGCAATCACAATTTGTTCCAATAAAATCAGTATCAGATTAGCTATCAAACGTGGGGGTATAAATGCCCCTAGTGTTTGATCTCTCAAACCTCTCCATCATTCTAACAATATACCATTTCTCCAAAGGTCCAGGGATGTTCACGCAGATAGTAAGGATGTAGCTAGTCCAGGTGATACAAGGAAAAAGGCCCAAGAGTTCCACATGCAAGCTTCTTTGATCCAAGTGCTAGTCTGTCTGATATATTTTGGACATGGTTTGTTTGTTTGTTTTTTTAAATTGAGATTTTAATGAATGTTTATAGAGAACTTGGATTTCCATTCATTCATTGTTGCACATTTTTCTCCCTGCTCACCCTCCCCCTAGTTCACTTTTCTCTTTAAAAAAAAGATAATTATTTCATTGTTGTACAATCCCCTACCCTCACCCCAGTCCACTTTACTACGAAGCTCTTATTCTAGACTGTTGTCATGCAAATGATACCTAATCATATATTCCATTTAAGCAGTTCTCTCCCTCATCTGTTTCAATGCAAGGCACATTATTTATCCCCTCTTTTCTTAGTTTCCTCCCAACCCTGATGTCAGTCCTGTTTTATAACAGTGACATTATGCAGTATTTATCCTTTTGTGACTGGGATATTTCACTCAGCATAATGTCCTCCAGGGTCACCCATTTTGTATGGTAATTCATGAGTTTTATTTAAGGAGGGACTAGTCCTTGGAGAAGGGCATCATGCTTGGAAGGGTGGAGGGACAGCACAAGAGAGGAAGACCCTTGATTAAATGGATTGACTCAGTGATCGGGGAATTAGGGGTAGGTGTGTCAGAGGTGAGTTGGCTCAAGCTAGAACAGGGTTCAGAGCTGTTGTACATAGGGTCGCTATGAGTGGGAAGCGACAGCACATAACCACAACACAAGGGCATAGACACGCCTCCAGGGGAACTGTGGGTGGTTCTTGGTCCATGCCTTTTTAGCAGGGCAGGCAAAATTGAGGTAGCTGGATCACGTTGCAGACAACGGTCTAGGAAAGCAAAGATGTTCAGCAAGTTCTATTATATGGCTCCTTTTCTTCTTGATTATCATCTGTCTTTTGGGCAAATCCTTTCAAAGACATTGATATTGACTTGGGTCAGAGGACAGGAGAGGAAAGTAGAGTTACATCAACTCTACTCCTATATGAAGTTTATAAGTCTTTATTTAAATATCTGACTCTCCACTGAGTTTCTGAGGCTGAAAATCACACAAGAGGAGATTTCCTAGCTTTCCTCTGAGGAGCTATTGATGAATTTAAACCACCAAAAAGGTGCAGTGTTTTGGTTAACAGCGCAACTCTCCAGAGATGTAACTTATATGAATCCTTGATGACCTACTTACTCCATAGGGAATTGCACTCCTAACCCAAATGCCACAGCTCTCAAGCTGTTCTAATCTGTCAATTGCTTCTCAGGAGAAAGATGGGCAATCTCCTCTTGTGTAATTTATAACCTTGGAAACTCACAGGAAGGTCACCTATGAGTTATGAGTTAGGTCCGACTTCATGGCCATGAGAGAGAGCAAGAGAGTGTGAATAAGCAAGGGAACAATGTAAAATTTTTGTACCTGACTGTTTAAAAGATATATGGCTCCCAAGAATACAAATATGTATATAACATCTAAAATAGGCAGCAATTAATAAACAGATATTTTTGCAAAGTTTCTTTCTCTTGCTGACGAGTTACATGGAGGTTTTTTCAGGGAGATCTTAGCAATAAGAAGTATGTTAAATACAACAACTTCCGACCAAAAAAAGTCCTGGACCAGACGGTTTTACTAGTGAATTTTATCAAACATTCAAAGAGGAACTGTCACCAATTTGACATAAACTATTTCAGGAAATAGAGAAAGATGGAATTCTCCCAGATTCATTCTATGAAGCAAACATATCCTTGATACCAAAGCCAGGAAAGGACACCACCAAAATAGAAAACTATAGGCCAATATCTCTTATGAACATAGATGTAAAAATACTCAATAAAACCCTGGCCAATAGAATTCAATGATACATCAAAGAAATAATCCATCATGACCAAGTGGGTTTTATAACAGGTATGCAGGGGTGGTTCAACATAAGGAAAACAATCAATGTAATTCATCATATTAACAAG